ATCCTAAATGATTTGGCGATAATTGCTCCTCCTGGCGTGATTATTGCCCTTCACCGATAGTAAATCTGTGAAGTCCCCAGGCTCCCGCGTGCATTTTGGTACGAGGAGCCCACAAGCTGGCCCAGACAGGCATCACTGCCCCAGGCAGCTGCACACCCCGCCCCCCAGCCTCCCACCCGCTTCCTGCCGCCCTGATTTCCACCTTACATGCAGCTTTCTGGGGCTCTGCCTGGATTGGGGCATTGGTTTATCGTGTGGTATCATGCTCCTTGAATGTGTTTTTTTCATCTGAGGCACCAGATTCACTGGGTCTGTCTCCATGGGCCACATCAGCAAATCCTGGGAAGGGAAGAATTTCTGCCATCGTGTGCATGCACACGGGCGTGTGTATTGGTGCATGTGTGTCAGTTTATTTTCTCCCAGAAGCGTGCAAAGTGTCAAGCAAGACATGAAATAAATCGATGGGTGTTGTGCTGTCCTGTCGATTCCGACCCACAGCGCCCCTAGAGGAAAGAGAGGAACTGCCCCAGAGGGTTTCCCAGCCTCTAACGTTCACAGGGAGCTCTGGGTAGCATAGTGCCTAAGGCACTTGACTGCTAACCAGAAGGCTGGCGGTTCAAACCCACCAGCCACTCCTTGGAAGGAAGATGGGACAATCTACTTCCATAGTGATACTGCCTCGGAAACCCAAGGAGGGGTTGCTATGAGTCGGGTCCGCGATGGCAAATAACAACAACAACAACGTTTACAGGAGCAGACGCCAGGTCATTTACCCTCAGAGAGGCGTGTGGGTTCAAACTGCTGACCTTTTGGTTATCAGCTGAGCACTTAACTATTGTACCAGCATGGCTCCTTGTAATAGTTGAAAGATCCATTATTATATTTATAAGATCCATTATATTTATGTTTATAACCTCCGAGCAAGATGGCCACTGAAGCCTGTGGCAGCAGTGGAGACCAAAGCCACACCCGTGGTGGTTGCCTTGACTCCACTTCCTGTTGACCCATGTGTGACAGAGAGGAACTGCTCCACAGGGTTTTCTGGGCTGCAGTCTTTTCAGAAGTAGGTTGCCAGGCCTTTATCCCATGGCACCGCTGGAGGACTTTGAACTGCTAATCTTTAGATTAACAGCTGAGCTTAAACTGTTTGGGTCCGATGTGGGGAACACTGTAATGTTCCGAAGTGGCCTACTGGTGTATGGACAACCCCCTGGGAAGGTCTAACTACAATCCAATACCTGGGGCCATGGCTGGCACGGCCACCTGAGGTCAAGCTGCTCAGCTAGCCCTTTAGCCCTGCTCCCAGGTGAGCTTTGTGAATCGCCCAGGTAACACTGGCTGTGCATGCACTCTTAGACTTACCTGTACGTGCTGCACTCTGGTACTGTTGTCATTTCAGGAAACCCATAGCCACTGGCTGTTTCTTTGGTGACTCAATGATTTCTAGTTTGATGGACACAAAAATTAATTCATTAGGATTTGGCAATTTCCTCAACATCAGTCATTTTAGGAAAAATTTTTTAAAAGAATATATTACTATATCTGTGTTAATGCAGGGAGCTTTGATGGCATAGTGCCGAAGGCTTTTGACAACATGGAGGCTGGCAGTTCAAACGCACTGGCACTATTTACTTAATGACTCCATATATATATA